CTTCTCGAGCCCGATCGCGGGAGACCTCAAGAACCGGGTAGGCCAGCTTGCGCAGAGGGAAGGAGGGTGGCACAAGAGAGCGAGGGGGCCGAGGAGGAGGAGGACTACGACGACAGAGGCAACCAGGACGACGACGACGACGACGACGACGACGACGACGACGACGACGACGACAACGACAACAACGACGATGACGACGACGACGACGACGAGGCGAGAAGTGGAGAAGGAGGAGTGGGAGCAGGAACAGCAGGGGCAGGATGAGGACGACGACGAGAACGACGAGAACCAGTGAGCGAGCGGCCAGTGAACCAGTCAAGGAAGCAAAGCCCCTGACAGTGCGAAGGCGCGCGGGAAGACCGTGCAAAAGCAGAAGACTGCCAGTTGGCATGCGGTTGAATCGTTGCAGACGTTTTGGACGGGTGCTAAGCCGCTCAGTTCATATCAAGCCAAAGCTCCTTTACATGTCGTGTGCATCTGGTGGCACACACTCGAGGCCGTGTCCTCACTCCGTTGTGCACGGCCCTGGCTGCTTGTGCGAGGAAGACATGTTTCCACGCGCGTTGAAATGCCACCCAATCACAGACTCTACGCTATTCTTCCTTGCCACACGCACAGTACGGCGGATGTCTGTATCGTGTACCCTCGTATCCTCCTGCTGCCGCGCACTCTGGGACGAGGAAGAAGAGGAATGAACCCAACAATGATGGATGCTAACATGCTCCAGAACCTGACGGAGTCCGTATTGTCCCCCGCATCATAGGTGGGGTTTTGTTTTCTCTAGACCGCCCCTAGTTGTTCTTAAAAGCGTTGGGGGCATGGTGTTGTGCCGTTTTCCACGGTTCCTTCTTCACGCCGCCAAAACACGTAGCAAAAACGGCACCACAAGCAGGCGGAATGGCCATTTCTACCAGCGTAGCGAAAGAACAATGGAAACGGTAAGAGAACGGGATGATGGGCCACAGGCCAATCCTGGACCTGGAAATGTAAAAAAACGGTGTCCAAAACGTACAACAGAAAGTCAGTCTTCAAAACGGAAGAACCCATCAGCGGTTTGTCTTACATCTACCCCCACCCCCGCAGGAAGAACGTGCCCTCCCCACATGAGCATCAGCATCAGCACAACCATCATCTTACATACACGCACCATCACCAACATCGAGCATAGATATAACCATTACCGGGTACACACTCACACATTCACTCACATCATAGATTCGCTCATTCAAGTTGTCATGCACGAAGACATTGAACTCGTGAAATCACTCACGGTCTCATATACAATGATTAATACTTAATACACTCATCTTGCGGAAGTCTCGTGCGGGAGCCACGTCTGTGCACATTACGAGGATGTCTCGAGCGGGAGCATCCTCCACATGGTCCCCCCGCTTCATGTTACTAATCCGAGGGGTCGTCCAAAACCTGTAACACTCGTCACCTTCGGGCAACTGAACCCTGAATCTGGAAGAAGTCTCAAGCAGGAGCATCGTCTATGAGTGCATTGCGAATAAGTCTCGAGCGGGAGCCCCCTCTATGTGTTATTAATCCGAAGGGGTCATCCAAAACTTCTGAGTGTGGTTTTGGGATCCTGATGCCCTGAATATATCGAGCGGGAGCCTCGTCGATGCGTGAATTGCGATGAAGTCTCGAGCGGGAGACATCATCCTATGGGGCCCTCGCTTTGTCACTAATCGGATGGGGTTGTCCACATCCTGTAACTGTTCTCACTTCCGGGCTCCAGAGGCTTGAATTTGGAGGATGTCTCGAGCGGGGACATCGTCGAACCGAATAAGCCGTGTCATGACGGCACATCGGCTGCAGTACATACCTCGCGTGAAAGAAAAATGCAGCCTCATAGCGACTCGCCTGCTCAGCTCACACGGGAGAAAGGGGGGAGAGGGGGGGTGAGGGGGAGGGGGGAAGAGGACAATCGAGGTGCGCTCGCGGCATATCTGACATCCGACCCCTCCCACCGATCCCTTCCCGTTGCGCTGATGGTTCCTCTGTCCGCCGACGGGTGCCAGAGCGAACCTGGAAATCGCAAAAGGATCGGAGGTTGGGGGGGTGAGATCGCAGCGGAACGGAGACACCCAACCGGGAAATCGTTTCGTTTCGTTCGTGTCGTGCGTGCTGGGCTGATGTATTGGGAAACGCTTAGGGAAAGGCTTGCGGGACACGCTACAGGCTCAAGCAAGCCGCGCCGAGGTGTCCTGCCAGAGGCCGGGACGAGCTCAGGGGCTACCCTGCGGTGCGGGCTTCTCATTCTGCAACCCTACAGCTCTCCAAGGAGCTGTCCGGGAACGTCAGCCCAGCCCAGCACACCCCCCCCTGCAGGCCAGAATCGGTTTATCTTAAATTCCAGACGGTGTGTGGACCTGGAGATGAACAAGCCGCGTAGGGCCTGCTCAGCAAAACCTGTCAGTTTTATAAGCCAGCCCTGAAGCGATCAAATTGCGTGGGAATTGCAGAAACACATGACTTCGGGCTCCTGCCCGACGGACCCGAAAATGTCCCGCTGAGAACGTCCTGCAGAAAACACTGTCTCGACAGGGCACCTTTTCTTCCTCCTGCTGTCCCGAACGCGCACCAGACAAGTCAGCGTTCGCGCCCGAACGCGTGTTCTGGCCAGCTCCGCGAGGCCCGTGCACGACTTCCAAATTGCAGCGCGCTGGCAGTCTTGCGGCTGCGCTACATCCGCACGGAGCTGTGCTTCTGAAAAACGAAAGAAACATTCGGAGCACAAATGTACTGAACGTCGTGTGATACATACGTCAGGCATCATGGCCACCCGCCCAAACAAGCACATATATTTGGCTTCGGCCTCCAGATGGCTTCAAGAGAGCCGAAGACCTCCCCGAAAAGGCTGCAAGGCCGCCCAGGACCGCCCAATCACTGCCCAAAGAGCCATCAAACGCTCTAAGATCTCCCGATGATGTCCCAAGACGTCCCAAGAGGTCCCAAGAAGCCTCCGAGGAACTCTCGGCCTCCAGCGAGGCCCTGGGAGGCAAAGAAAAATTCACGTGCCACGGGGACTCAAAATGCCCCTTGCTCCCGAGGCCTCTCGGCTTCAGATCGACTCGGGAAGCATCCGAGAGCCCCAGGACTGCCCCCGAGACTGCTCCAAGAGAGCCCCCAGATCGCCCCAAGGCTGCCCGAGGGACCCTCCGAGACGACCCGGGACGGCCCCACGACCGAGGGAGCGAGGCCGAGCTCGAGACCCACGCGAGTACAGACCGCGCCCTCCACCGGCGTGCGCCTTGAAAATCACACTGCAACGGTCGAAGCACGGCCCGACGAGCCCGCAGAAGCTCCAGGACCTCACCAAGACGCCACAGGAGGTCTCCACGAGATTCGCAGTGAGGCCTCTACTGAGGCCCTCGGTGGCGAAAAGCATCGAAAAAAGCCTAAGTGACGTAAATCAATATAGTTTGCTTCGAAGACCTTTCGGATGCAGATCGCTTCGGGAAAGAATCAGACAGCACCAAGAAACCCCCAAGACTGCTCAAATTTTGCCCAAGAGAGCCACCAGGTGTCCCGAATACTGCCCCAGGACCCTGCAAGACGGCCCAAGCAGGCTCCAAGACTGTCCCAAGACTGTCGGAACGGGACCGGATTTGAGACCCGCGCGAGTTCAAACTACGCGCTCAACCTCCTTCGCGCGGCGCTGCAGCGCTGGCACGGCGGCAGGGATTGCCACATATCGGTAGTTCAGAAGGCCTCAAGATGAGAGCAAGCCCGCAGAGGTTTCTGGGTTTACCACTGTCAGATGTGCCTGGACCGATCCCACACTCGAATGCCTATATCCTCTCTTGCTGCCATGCGAGTTCCTATTGCCCTTCTCAAGGCAACTCATCTGCGAATCGTGTATGGATGGGCTGACGGGAATAAGCAAAGCGTCAAGCATGTGCGATTGCTTCCGTTGTGATCCTGTGCTGCTCTCGCACTCGGACACGGAAGGCAGCAGCGCATTATGGCTTCGAACGGGAGGGTACATTGCCGAATCAACGACGTGTGCTCCTCCTCCTCCGCCCTCTCTCTCGCACCCCTCTGCCAAGGGGAGGCAGGACCAGAGCGTGGCATCGTTGAGGATATCCAGGCAGATGCCGCCGCTGCTAGGGTCGATGTTCGGATGGAACACCCTGCCCGGCCAAGGATGTCCAAGTGCAGAGGCCAAAGAAGAAGTCGATGAGGGGGATGGGAAGGGGCAGAAGGAGAAGCAGAAGGATGGGGGCATGAGGAAGGCTGACGAGCAGAAGGAGGGCGTTGCGAGGAGGAGGGTGGGTATTGCGAAGAGAACCAGGAATAAGAGCTTAGCCGGTCGTAGGATGGACCTATCACGGGAGCAGGGTGTACGGAAGCAGCCCTGCCATTTGCGACCTGGTGTCGTGGCCGCATTCGGCTGCAGGAGGGTAAGAACAAGGATGAGGACGAAAAGAGCAAACCCAGCACACGCCACCGATGCTGCAATACACTTTACCATACCCCTCTATGCATGCCAATAGACATGTTCATTGTCAGTATGGCAGATGCCTGCTGGAAATGTGGGGGGGGCATCGGCCTGCATGGCGAGAGCCCTATCGATGTTCAAATGCGCATTAACAAATTGCACAAGGGGGTCGACCACATATAAGTAGTTTGAGAAACACAAGCGGGGTGCCTAATTGAACATGCGATTTGAAAAAGGGCTGCCTTCCATCCATCCGTGCGGTCATTGGCTACTGGGCATCTCAAACTTTCCGACCACAACATGCTGCGAGGAAGTTTCGGGCGGGAACACGACGTAGAAAAGAGCCGCCTGCCATCCGTGTTACAGTCGGAAATATCGATCAAGCTCTAGACTCCAGCCGCCCGTCACGGTCCACCCACGCGACACACCCGACACGCCTGCTAGAACCCTCCCGCCCCCACGCCTGCTTGACCAAATCTTCCGAAACCGACCAGGTCTTGCGAAGCGGGCCGGGCCTTGCCTTGCGAAACTGGCCGCCCGAGTCTTCCGAGAAACGGGCCAGGCATTCCGAAAACGACCACATCGCTCCTTGCGAAACCGACCACATCGCTCCAAACCGACCGCCAGGGTCTCTCGAAAGCGACTGGGCCTTCCCAGGCCGACCGGGCCATCCAAAACATCACCCGAGGAGCTTGCGAAGCCGACGGCGCGGCCGCAGGAGTCCCCGCCAGGTCACGCCTTGCGGAACCGACCGGCTTTTTCCAGGACCGCCGACCGCCCAAGTCTTCCGAACTCGAGCGGGTCCTGCGAAACCAACAGCCGTGAGAGTCTGCCGAAGCCGATCGGGTCTGCCGCAACTGATCGAGTCTGGCGAAGCCGATCGAACTTACAGGACCGACCGCCCGGGCCTTGCGAAACCCAACAGGTCTTGCGAGACCAACTGGGTTTTCAGAAACAGACCAGGTCTTGTGAGACCGATCGGGCCCCCCGAAACCGAAAAGGTCTTCCGAAACAGACTGGCCCTCTCGAAACGATACGGGCGGCCGCCCTAAAACGACATGTGGCATCTGGTTTCGCAAGATTCTTTCAGGTCTCTCAGAAACGCCCGTCCGAGGAGCGGCTGTTTCAGTACGAGCCAACCTCGCGAGCTGGCCTCCGCTTGTAGCCACACGGCCGCCGAGTCGGGCCAGCAATACTTTGTATCGTCAGCCGTGGCCTCCTCCCCAGAGCTTGCGTCTGGGGCAGGGAGCGGCATGGGAGGCAGGAGCGGAGGGAATCGGGGGGCTCCGATCCGGCGGCGAGCAAGGGGGGGAGGTGAGAAGGAGAAGGCCTTCTCAGAAGGCTCGGACGTCCCCCAGCCTCCTGAGAAATTGTCTGAGCCTTCCCCGAAGACTGGAACATAAATTTCTCGGAAGGCGCGAGGGTTTCTGCGAAGTCCCGCCGCCTCCTGGGAAGGCCCTTTCCTTCTCACTTCGCCCCCCTCGCTCACGGAGCGACCCGAGCAAGCCCACCGCAGCCCTGCTTCCGCCGTGGGACGCACGCGGGACCTGGGCCGCCCCGCACGGGCAAGACACAAAAGCACACGCCAAGGAGCGCTGTTGGCGGGGGGCGGGAGGGGGAGCGGAGCGGGGGGGGGGGGGAAGGGGAGGAGCGCAAGGAGGAGGGGGCAGGGAGGGAGGCTGAGGGCGGCAAAGGGTGGGGGGGAGGAGGAGGAGGAGGAGGAGGAGGAGGAGGAGAAGGAGGAGGAGGAGGAGGAGGAGGAGGAGGAGGAGGAGGAGGAGGACGAAGAGATGGAGGAGGACGAGGAAAAGGAGGAGGAGGACAGGCGCCGAAGGTTTCGGAGGGGATCGCCCGAAGCAAATTGATCTGTTGTTACGCTCTCGGGAGACCTGTCCCCACCCCATGGGGGGAGGAAGAATGGACGAGGCGGCTGGCGGGCGTGAGCCACGAAGGCCCCTGTTAATCTTGATAAGCGCGTTCCACTACTCGCAGAGTAGCTACTCGCAATTTGCCTGGATTCGCCACAGGGATTTACGATATATTACACAAAGGTAGACGTATGGTGTTATAACGCTTGCGAGTTGTGGAACGCGCTCGGCGATAATCAGCCTCAAACAGATCCCGATCCCCGATTATGATGAGCATCGCCGTATCCCGATGCCAGTCGTGGGGATTCCATCACTTCCTGAGGGCGCACGCCTAAGGTTGTCATCCCCTTTGGGCTTGTCAGTTTAGTGACAGGAATGGGTTCGCGGAGGAGGAGGAGGAGGAGGAGGAGGAGGAGGGACGACTTTGTTCCCAGCCGAGAAAAAAAACAAAGACCTCCTGAGGTCACGTTCGAGGCTGCTTACCCTGGGGAGGACGACGACGACGACGACGACGACGACGACGACGACGGCGAAGACCCCCTGGGGTTACATTCGAGGCTGGTTACCACGGGGAAAAGTACTACGCTGCCCTGCGGGCCCCATCCTTCGCGGCGAGAGGAAGCGCACGCCCGGCGGCTTGAACGGGTACCTCGAAGAGCGGCGAAAAAGGCAGTGGAGGCGGAGAAGGAGCTGTTCCAAAATGTCTTGCGTATCTTGGTTCTCGCCGCCGCGCGCTGCTGCAGTACCAGGGCTTGACTTCTCATTTCACTGAGCACTGCGATCCGAACCGTGTTTGCCCCTACCATCCTGTGGTGTTGGGTCCTCGTTTTGAAAAGACAGCGCCCCGCGTTCCTCTCCTCTCCTTCCTCCTCCTACCCCTCCTCCATCCTCCCCCTCCCCCTTCCTCCATGCGTTTCACCCACCCAGTACAGCGCTTCGTGGCCCCATGGGGGGGTCCACCGAAGGCGCCAATGGCAGGGATCGCATGGCGGTGGCCCCATAGGAGCTCCACCTACGGCCCCAGCGGCAGGGTTCGCATGGCGGCCTCGGGCCATGTCGGCACACCCCTCACGAGGAGCGCAGCCCCACCCCACCGAACGCGCCCGCGGCAGGGCTCGCATGGCGGCCTCGGGACATTTCGGCACACCCTCACTAGGGTCGTAGCTCCACAGGAGCTCCACCAAAGGCGCAAGTAGCAGGGTTCGCATGGCGGCGTCGGGCCATTTCAGCACACACACACACACACACACACACACACACCACGAGAATCATGGCCCCATAGGGAGCCCCACCGAAGGCCCAAGTGGCAAGGTTCGCATGGCGGCCCCGGGCCATTGAGGCACACCCCTCACGAGAGCTCCACCGAATGCACAAGTAGCAAGGTTCGCATGGCGGCCCCGGGCCATTGAGGCACACCCCTCACGAGGATCGTGGCCCCATGGGGAGTTCCACCGAAGGCCCCAGTGGCAGGTCTCGCATGGCGGCCCCGCACCACTTCGGCACACCCATCACGAGGATCGTAGCAGGGCTCGCATGGCGGACCCGGGAAATTTCGGCACACACCCCACGAGGGTCGCGGCACCACCGGGGCTCCACCAAGGCGCAAGTAGCAGGGTTCGAACGGCGGCCTCGGGCCATTCCAGCACACCCCTCACGAGCATCGTGGCCCCATACGGATCTCCACCGAAGGCGCCAGCGGCAGGGTTCGCATGGCGGCCTCGGGCCATTTCGGCAACACCCCTAACAGGGGTCGTGGCCTCATAGGGAGCTCCACCGAAGGTGCCAGTGGCAGGGTTCGCATGGCGGCCCCGCCCCATTTCGGCACACCTCTCACACAGTTCGTGGCCTCATAGGAAGCTCCACCGAAGGCGCAAGTAGCAGGGTTCGCATGGCGGCCCCGGGCCATTGAGGCACACCCCTCATGAGGATCGTGGCCCCATAGGACCTCCACCGAAGGCGCCAGTGGCAACCTCCCTCATGGCTCTCAGAGCCCTCTCTTGCTCCTGCTCCACGGTCAGAGCGACGCCGTCCTCGTCGTCGGCGCCCGCAGAGACGGCCACGAACGTGTCCCTGAGCATGTCGTGTTCCGGCGGGAAGCCGTGGCCACACAGGGAGCGCGGGCGAATATGGTATTCACAATTGCGGTATTCACAACTGCATATGGTTGGGTCCTTCGCCTGGCAACTTTTTGGATCATTGCCACCAAGACGCGACGGCTCAAGCAAGCCAACGCTAGTGCAACGTTAAAGGAGAATCAGGGGACGGAGGGGTCAGGGAGAGGCAAAGGGAAAAGGGGAATGGAGAGGGAGCCAGAACGAACGGGGGCAGCGGACGCGCAAGGGAGAGGCGAAGGACGAGGAAAAGGAGGAGCTGGAGAGGGGGCGGGATGAGGACTCTGTCTCCTGGCCCTCGCACCCATCGCTCCGCGCGCCGTCGCGCCCGCTGTATGGGCAGAACTGGAAGGCGCACCAGCTCGGGCGGACGGATCTACTTCTGCAGCTCGCCCCCCCCGACCGCAAGGCGCCGCTCGCACAGCGCGAGTCGGCCTAGGACGGACCTCGCCACTGCGAATTCGCACCGAAGGAAGACGGCGGCCGCGGAGGGGGCGGGAGCGGGGGAGGCAGTCAGAACAAGATGAACAGGTCTGGCCGCTGGCGCTGCGGCACAGGCTCTGGGAGGAGTCGTGCCAAGGGGCAACCAGGGGCGGCGCGGCGCTGACATGCAAGGACGCACGGATGTGGGGGAAGAATGGGGGGCGAGGAGGGAGCCGCCGCCACCGAAACGACCACTCGGGGCGGAGACGAAAGGGTAGGACAGCCAAGGGCAGGGTAGAGAATCAGGTCACGCGGCTGGCCTTCCTGGCGCCTCCCGCGATGGGGTCTGATCCCAGACGGACGGTCCACCTCCCAACCGGTGAGACAACCAGAACGGTCCAGTTCCCAACCACCGGACAAAGCAATGTGAAACTTTCTTATTGCATGACCGTCTTGACAATGAGAACCAAACGGTTTCCCAGAAAGGAACGCATTCGGTTCTCATGGTGAGCAATTGAGATCTAAACAGCTCCGCTGCGTTATTACTTGCAACGTCTAAGTGTTCCAGGGAAGCCTTATACACGCTCAAAGCACCCCACAACGGCAGTGTATACAAACTACACGAAACAGATACAATACTTGTATCAAACGTGTGGACGCGTATCCGAAAGTCACCAAACACGCATACGAAACGTGTGCATGACGCTTCAGAAACGCATGCAAAACGAATGCCCAACGCACACGAAACGTATACACAACGTCTATGACACAACACCCTTTGGGAATCCACACAAATCAAATGGGAATCGTTCAGAAATCCCTCGGGACTCATCAGGAATCCCTCAGGGAGCTCGGGGGATCCTGAGGAATCGTTCGGGACTCCTTCGGGGATCCTCGGGAATCTTCTGGAATCCTCATGAATCATTTTGGAATCCATCTGGAAGCTTGAAAGGAATCCTCATGAGCCCCTAAAGAATCCCTCAGAAGCCCTTCAGGAATCCTCTGAAATCCCGAAGAAAAATCAGGGAGGCCCTAGACATCCCTGAGGAATCCTCAGGAATATCCCAGGAACCCGTCAGGATTTCCTTAGGAATCCTCAAGGAATTCTCAAGAATCCCGCAAAAACCCTCAGGAATCCGTCAGAAATCCAAGAAGAATCCTCAAGAATCCCTCTGGGATCCCGTAGAAGACCGTCAAAGGTTCTTGAAAAATCCAAATGGCATCCCTCCGGCATCTTCGGGAATCCTCTAGACTCCTCCGGAATCCCTCAGGAATATCCAACCATCCCTCCAAAATCCTCAGGAATCCCCGCGGAATCCCTTCAGGAATCCTTGCAAATTCCCGTGGATCCTCACGAGTCCTCAGGAATATTACGGAATCCGACCGGAATCCTTCAGGACTCCCCAGGCAGCCCTCAGGAATTCTCCTGGTTCCAAAAGAACCCCTCACGAATTCCCCAGGAATCCCCCTGGAAACCATAAGGGAATCCTCGGGAACCCGTCAGGATCCTTCAAGAATCCCTCAGGTGGCCTTAGAGGAACCCACGGGAATCCTGCACGAAGCTGAGGAAGCACTTTCAAGGAAGCGCCTACGCAGCGCCTATCAAAAGCCGATGTAGCGCATTCCAAGCGTTCCAAGCGCTTGGAAACTCAAATAAACATGGTTGGAATCTGGACCGCTCCGGTTTCATTGCCGATTGGGATCTGGACCTTCTAGCCGTGATCTTCAACGCCCAATTGGGATCTGGACCTCCGTCCCCCCCGGCGCCGGGAGGCGCCCATGCATCGAGGAATTGCCAGGCGGCAGGGCCGCAAACAGTCGCGCGCAGCAGATTTCGTAACCCGGACGAGACAAGAATCTCACTGAGGAGACACATTTCCTTTTGCGAATCACGGCGGTGATAAAAGACCTCGGCCCGGCCCTCTTTTGCTACGAGTTGCACTGGCACTCTCCAAAATGACATGCTGGTTCTCGCGGCTCATGTAATTTTCTGACTCGAAGGCCCCATCTTCTCTGTCAGAGTCATGCCAGCCTCCTCTGATGACTGCGATCGGGCTGTTGGTGCACTTCTTGGCCGCGAAAGAGTTGGTGCCATGGCAACGACGAGTTGACCCCCAGAACGTGCAGTCCAGATGGTAAAGCGATGGGAACACGCCCTTGCCCTTCAAGTTACGCCTCCTGTCGCGGTCCACGCCTGCGTAGGGGTCAACTACCCAATCCTGGTCATAGGCCCATAAATCGTAATCGTCCGAAGGCAAATGGAACTCCCAGAAAATCTGTTCTCATGATTGCTTTCTGCGGTGACGCACCCATTGGTGGACCTAATCTGGGCAGCCCCTGGCGCAGATGGCACGGAGCTGATGCTGGTCACAAAGCTGGGCCGTCACTTTGGTTCGACGCCAAATGACATCTGGCCTCTCCACCCGGTTTCTGTCGTAACCAAGTGATCTCTGGGTGTTAGTGTCGAAGTTCTCGCAGTAAACAACCATCCGATTCGCCATGGTTACAAAATCCCATGCTTAACCCTGGGCGAAGAATCGCAGCGCCCACGTTCCCGCCATGATGTCTCATTGCGAACGGCTGCATCACCGTAGACAGACTCCATGCTGGCGATGGTCGGGCTGCCGTGCCAAAGCAAGACAGACCAGGTGGTCAGCATGTCAACGCATTCCAAATCCTGCAGCTCCGGCAGATTCTGGACATAGACCTATACGTTCTCGATAAAACACAATTCAGACATGCCCAGAAGTAACACGTTGGGCAAAACAGGTCACGGATAATCTCTCTACCTGGCAAACGCTACTAGACCATTGGCCACGCTTATTCCCGCGGTTCTCTGAGAGGGCTGCTCTCCAGGAGAAAAATACCCCTGCGAATGACCAAACCATCTGCAATTGTGAATACCGCAGTTGTAATTATCTCTTTCGGTGGAGCTCCCTAGCCGCCTGCGTGCGCAGCCACTGGGGCCTTCGGTGGAGTTCCTCATGGGGCCACGAAATGTGTGAGGCGTGCGCCGAAGTGGGGGTGGAACCGCATGCGAACGCAGCCACTGGGGCCTTCGGTGGAGCTCCCCATGGGGCCACGAAACGTGTGAGGGGTGAACCGAAGTGGGGATGGAACCGCATGCGAACGCAGCCACTGGGGCATTCGGTGGAGCTCCCCATGGGGCCACGAAGCGTGTGAGGCGTGTGACGACATGTAGGGTGGAACCGCATGCGAACGCAGCCACTGCCTGGAACCGCACGCGAACGCAGTCAACCCTCGAGCCACTCCCTGGCATGCGTCATAATTGTCATTAGGATTGTGAGTAGCAACTCATATGATGTCCCGTAGTTTCGCCAGTTCTCCACAAAGGAGTTCCACCTTTCGAGTTGAACCGAGGTGCCACGTCCCTTCTCGGGCCGCTCTGGGTTCACAGCTCAGCAAAATATGGGATGACAGCTGTTTGCCTGTCACTGCTGGGTACCACTTGTAAAACTTTATGTACGCAATGAATAATTCACCTTCCTCCGAACCATGTAACCTGCCTGTGGCTTCGGCGCTCTCAAGTTTCTCTGCGAACATGTGCCACAAGTCGTCGTGCAGCTTTGCTTGTTCGCCAAATAGAGATTCAGCATCAGACTCGTATTATTGTTTCTGATTTTCCTG